GTCCTCGCGGTGCTCTCCATATTCTGTTAAAACAGTAATTGAAACAATAATGTTTATTTTGAAGCTCTCAGCAGACCGGCGTTGCCGCTTCAAAGACGCCTGTTAAATTATCAGCGTTTTGACAAAGTTTGAAAGAAATCATATTCCTATCGTCATATGTGAAAAATAGAAATTCTTTGAGGTTTGCTCTTAACTCGCAGGGCAGACCCACATTTTAGCACGTCCTTCATTGTTTTCAATTTTTACCTTTCATCGTTACTCTTCGCCTCTTACAACTTCACTTTTTTGTTATTCAAAAAAAAAAAAAACTTTATAAAAGGGGCTCTCCAAAATTCACATTGCCATCAACCGCTCAGTTATTTTGCAGCTTAAAAACCGCAGCGCAGCCACCAGCATTTCCCAGACCAAAATAAAATAAAATAAAATAAAATAATAAAGTCCAACCACCTTTTAATTTTCCAAATGTGCAATAATCCACATTTCCAGAGCTCCCACCCGGACTTCCCCACCTCTGCTAGAAATAATTCTCTCTCTTTTTTTTTCGTGTGTGTCTCTTTTTGGCAGGGGGGGGCAATATTTAAGTTTGTTAACGCGGTTGGAAAATTAAAGGAAACATTTCAGCACTGAATAAACTCCTCCGAAATCCCCGTGTCACATCGTTGTGCTCTGTCACCCTGCCTGCTCTTGCTTATATATGAATTACACTTTCCAAATTTCGTCTTCGTGATCAAAGGCAAAGGAAAAGGGTCCCAACTCCATCCAGTACGTGGGTGCTATGTTGGGGGTAGAAAAGCCTGAACACAGTTTTCAATACCACCTCAAGGAACATAATATCATTCCATAATTCTTTGACTTAAGTTACTCAGAAAGAAGGAAGCAGGGTAAGAGGGATTGTAAAGTTTGATAGATTTCTTGTGGTGATAGTTTACAGTTTCTAAGCCAACATATAAAGGCGTGGGTTTTATTTTTGCATCGCTGTTATTGTACTCCAGTGTACTTTGTCATAAATCAGAATTATTTCCGCTACAACATGGGGCATAATACCGGGCAGAAAATACAAATTTAAGGTAATCATTAAAGTGTTGCTACCAAATACTTCCTCGAAGCGAAAATGAATGTTTGTCATAAAAATGTAAGAAAACTTGGTAAAAAATACAATGGGCATAAGAAGCACTTTCTACACATAACTCACGGTTAAATAATTAGATTGAAAAGGGGACAGGTAAAATATTCCGGGGAAGTCTGAGAGATGCTTTGTCTTGGAAATTGTAGACATTTATATACTCCTCGGGGTGATAGGCAGAAGAGGGGGTTTTCTGGCATCTTCCCCCCCCCTCCCTTCGTCCCTGCCTAGCAGAGTCCACGGCTTCCCTGGCATCCCCAGCCCTGATTTGGGGACGTTTGAGGGCAATTGCTCTGTCTGTGGCGCTGGGGACAATAGGAGGACGTGGGGACAGCATCCCCCCACACACACCCAGCCCGGGAGAACAGTACCCGGGAAGAGAAAAACCCCACTTTTTTTTACTTTTTTTTTTTTTTCCTTCGGTGTGCCTTGGAGTTCATTGGGCAAAAACCCCTGAACTGGCCCAAAAAGGCCAGGTTGAACCCACGGCGGGGGGGGGGCAGCTCTCTAGGAAACGCGGGGGGTGGCAGCCCGACGACGGCGGGGGATGAACATCGGACCTGTATACGGTTCCCCTAAAAGTGTGTAAAATTCAAAGTAGGTTATTAAAGTCCTTACCACGGGTAGAGTATCTCCTTTTAAGTTTTAATAGCATTTGTTCGTATTTATTTTCTGTAATTAGAGTAAAGCATTTTTCCCAACGGGGGTTCCACTTAGGCTGATGAATTTTATTTCTCTTTCCATTAATGACCCATGTTTATCATACTTCTAATTATTTTTAACTTTAAACAATATTCGGTCTCCTGGAGACGCCTCTGCGCTGCTTCCTAACGTCAACTTTCCTTTTCCATGGCCAAGAAACCCACCACAGTGAAGTCGCGAGATATATTCAGGACGTATTTTTAGGAACAATCTGATTTTAGATTTACTCAACCCCTTTTGCTCCCGAAGATGCTGATTAGCAGCTCGCGAAACGGGCTGGAAACCCTTCAAACGTTTGCATCGGTAGCTTGTGCTGGCAAAAACTGGTAAACAAAACTCCTGCGAATGGTGTAAATCTTTATTTTATACTCACAACATTTACACATTCATAAAAGATGAGGTTTCCAGCACCGGTTTGTTTTTTTTTCTCTCTCCAGCAACCTGGATGGGGAGTTTTGTTCGAGATGCTCTTGCGAAGCGCCTGGTTCTGCGGAGAAGCAAATTCAAAATTTATTTAACGTCACGTTTGATGTGCTCCGGTGCAACTCCTTCACATCGCCTTCGACAAAAGCACGCACCAGAATACGGGGCGAAAAAATCAGGAAAGCATATTTAATCTTTCGGCAGACAATACAGGAAACTATGAGGTCAAATTTTGGTGTCCCAAAAAATGCACATGTGTAACTGTTTGACTGAGCAGCATAAATTATTGGCCAGCCACATCAGCTGCAAAAATAAAGTAGAAGAGGGGGGAAAAAAAAATCAAACCGGGGAAAAAAAAAGCGCAATATAATACAAAATTGCATTGGTCTTTAATTTCATCACCTATAAATGAGAAAATATTGGCTCCCATACTAAAGTTTTATTCTTTGCTTATAAATATTATGTGGAATTTTCGTTGGATATCATAAAACTGAACGATTTCTATCAAACTGTTTTAAAAAGACCTATGCAGATAACACAAATAGAGGCAATAAAGTCGCAAATAGCTTTCCAGGGGAACCAAATGGCGTCTGAAGCCTACGAAAGCTTTTACTCTGCTGGAGAAGGGGGCACACGAAATAGGATTATCCACTTTTAGGCTTTTTCGGCCTAAGATATTGAAACTTGTGCCACTTGATGCGGAGAGAAGACCCGCAAGGCTCTTGAAAGTTAAGTCGAGGGGAATTTTACAGCCCTGCTTTTGAAAATCTTTGGGAAAACAGGTTTGCAGACGTGAGAATATTTAAGCAGGACTTTGCTCTAAACCGTTACAAATCACCCCAAACGGTCAAGTTCCACTTTCTCTGCTCCAATGTACTTCTTTTTTTTTTTTTTTTCCACGATTTTTCTCCTCATCCCTTTTCCCCCTTTCTTTTTCTTTTCCCCCCTTCTTTTTCTTTCCCCCCTTTTTTCTTTTTTTTTCTTCTTTTTCTTCTCCCCCCACCTTTTTTTTTTTTTTAATGAAAGGGGGCGTTTTTTTTTTGTTTCCCTTGAAAGTGACTCTGAACCCGTCTTTTTCTAATTGTAATGATCTTGAAATTCCGGGCTAACTCCCTTTTTATTTATTTATTCGCCATTGCCCTAATCCACCGCTTCACCTAAAACCAGAGTTCATCCACGGGCACTGTAACACGCCGGGAAAAATGTTAAAAAAAACCCAAAACCTTTTAGAGCTTAATTACTACATGATTAAGAAAACAATAAAGAAAATAAAGTTGCGGGGGAGGGTACGATAACCACGAAGGTTTAAGTTCCGTCGTGTTTAAGACATCAAATCTTGCTCGGGGATTTAAAATTGAAAAGAAAACAACAACTTGAGCTGCCATCGCAGCGAATTGCGCCACGGAAGAGGAGAGGGGAAATAATGGAGAGAAAAGTAACTTTCCACGTGAAATCACCCCAGGAAAATAAATAAATAAATTAAAATAAAATAAAATCCGACCAAATCGGGAAAGTTTCAGTTTGCAAAGCTTTCTGCATTATATTTAGTGAGTCCCAGGTTGGATTATTATTATTTTTTTTCTCAGTAGATGTTTTCCAGAGAGAAAGAGGGAGCAGACGGAGAGACAGACAGATAGACGGGAGGGGAGAAAACCCACCACACCACCGCACTCTTGCAGTTCACCGTCTGAAAGTCGCTCCCTTTTCACAAATTCGACCCCTTTTTTCCTCTCCAGGAGGAATTTTCTTTTCTTTTTTTTTTTTTCTTTTTTTTTCTTCTTCTTCTTTTTTTTTTTTTTTTTTTTTAAATCCTGCACAATACCACACATGCCATTTTAGCCCAGAAACTTAAGACAGTTTCGGGAATGAAAGTGGATAATTAAAAAAAGCTGTCTTCGCAGAGTCAGGGAAGGCGAAGCTGCTTTGCTGCGGGGGAAAAAAAAATAGGGAAAATAAAGCAAAACTAGGTGTTCGTCGTCTTTTTCTTCATTAAAAAAGCTGCTTGGGAAATATCCAACCTGCTTTAAGGAGCTTCAGGGTTTCGGGAAAACGCCTGGCTGAACGGTTACTGAATTATTCCCCAATTTTTCCCCCCAACTTCTCTTCTCACGTCTCTCTCTCAGCGGCAAAAGCAAAGCGGCGCCGAGCGCATCATCCCA